CTCTGGGGGCCAGCGGGGGGCAGCTCTGGGGGCCAGCTGGGGGCAGCTCTGGAACACCGTAGGCTGGCTCTGGCAACTCCAGCCATAGCCTCCACCAACTCCCAGCCACCTCTGGGGCCTGGTCACTCAATCCCCTTGGGGGCTTCTGAGATCAGGAGGTTGGTGGCTGGAGGTGGTCGTGGCGTCAGTGGAGGCTCCAGGGACGTGGGTGGCGCTGAACTCACAGGTGGCTCCACCCGGCGTCTAGGTGCTGGTACCGGCATAGATGGTGGTTTTGAGCCACCTGCTGGCTAGATCCAGCGTGTAGGTCTTCCTCCGCGGCCCCCGTAGAACACCCCCTTAGCTTTAGGGGTGCTCCAGTGCTCAGTCTTGCTGACCCGATGTACAGCTGTGCTCAATCCCAAAACAAACCACAAAAACAGGAAGTGCACCCCACTTAAACTCCCCGTGTGGAACAAAATTTGTTGTCAATTGCACATAAAGGTTAATCAAAATAACTTGAACCCAACACCTCCTCTGTCTTGCCAACTCTGAGATTTGATCCAGCAAACTTTCGGTTACAAATAACTTACACGCTATCCGCCACCAACCCCAGCAGAGATGGAAGAGAGAAACAGCTAGAGCGCTAAAGCTTGTAGAGAAGATCGAGATGCTGTTGGGAGACAGGAAAAAGATAGAGCAATGACAAAACGGGTGAGGAAGAAAGAATACCAGATAAGGAGAGGAAAATATATGAGAGTGAGATATGGAAAGCAAGGGTTGGGGAGGAAGTGATGCATCCAGAGCAGCTCTGACTGTCGTGGGGGTAAAAATTTACTAAATTAGTAAGTAATTCCGTTTTGGATGTCCTTATTCAGTCGATGAGAGATAGGGAGGGAGATGTGATGCAGGTTTGGTGTGGATGTAAATCTTGGTGTCATCAGCATATCAGTGGAAGTTCAGACCATGGTTATCATGTAGATTCTGAACATCAGGGCTCCAAACACAGAACTTTGAGGCATGCCTTTTTATGACTGGGGGTTGGAAGGACCCAAATGAAACAAATTGCTTCGGTCAGCCAAATGAAATCAGAACCAGTGAATTGCCGTTCAACATTTGCAAAAGACGCAAAATCAACAGAATACTTTACATTATCAGTTTGAGGATTCCACCCAAAACGTGTTCAATTAGTGACCAACAGCTCATAACAACAGATAGGAAAGTAAGGTGACAATAGGAACCTGAAAAGGAATGACCTGTGCTGGCAATTAACTACATATAAACATATATTTATGGTAGTTTTACCAAGGCCTACTTGACAAAAAACAAATATTCTAATTACTTGTATTTGAATTTGGGCTATTGTATGTATGGCCATGACTGGACAAACAACAGTAACTACCAGGGTACAATATAAGACCATAACTCAAACCCACATCAAAACAGACCCTTAACACGCAAATATATTTACATTTTTTAATTTTATTAGCAGAAGATTAACACCAGGACTTTCAGAGTTTGGCCCTATTTAGCTTGAATTCAAGTCTTTTAATATACTACGATGAGCCAAGACATTATGATCACTTACACGTGAACCGAAAAACAACCGAATAACATTGATAATCACCAAACAAGGGCACATGTCAAGGTCCGGTTAGATCAGATAAGTGTACAATCAGTTCTCGTAGTCAACGTGTTGGGTGCAGGAGAAACAGGCAGGAGTAAAGACCTGAGCGACTTTGACAAGGGCTAAATAGTTATGGCCAAACGACTACGAGTCAGAGAATCCCTGAAACAACAAGGCTTGTGGGGTGGAACATGGAAGCACCTGGTGATGGCACCAGAATGCACTGTGGGAAGAGAGAGTGATGGCACCAGAATGCACTGTGGGAAGAGAGAGTGATGGCACCAGAATGCACTGTGGGAAGAGAGAGTGATGGCACCAGAATGCACTGTGGGAAGAGAGAGTGATGGCACCAGAATGCATTGTGGGAAGAGAGAGTGATGGCACCAGAATGCACTGTGGGAAGAGAGAGTGATGGCACCAGAATGCACTGTGGGAAGAGAGAGTGATGGCACCAGAATGCACTGTGGGAAGAGAGAGGCACCAGAATGCACTGTGGGAAGAGAGAGTGATGGCACCAGAATGCACTGTGGGAAGAGAGAGTGATGCTCCCAGAGTCCTGGCACTCCTGTGAACGTCAATTTGACAAGCTCCGTCTACCTCAACATCGTTGCAGACCTGGTGGTGCATCCCATCATGGAAATGGTATTTCCTGGCCTTGGTCACGCTGCACACATTGTTTGGGAATGGTTTGAGGAACATGATGAAGAGTTCAAGGTTTTGCCCTGGCGTCCATATTCCCCAGATCACGATCTGATTGGGCAACTGTGGGATGTGCCGGACCATCAAGTCCGATCCAACAAGTGCAATCCACAATCTCACAATTTACAGGACTTGAAGGATCTGTAGCTGTAACGACTTGATGCCAGATACCACAGAACCCTTACAAGGGTCATGTTGATTGCATGTTTCAATTAGTCAGCACTGTTTAGGTGGAAAGCAGAGGACCAACAGCATATTAGGCAGGTGGTCATAATGTTTGGGCTCATTTGTGTACCAAACAACACATGAGTGGGCTAATTTAGAAATGTACCCGACCTGATAAGGACTCATCTGATAAACCAAATGATAAACTAAACGTATTACAATTAAATACACATTTTTCATATTATAAGTTCATACAGCCACAACCACAAGCTGGGTACCTTTTGTACCTACAGTAACACTCTAGAAACTACAGTAGTTTCAAATGAATGTGTGACAATAGCCAACCTCTCAGTACAATAATTATTTCACATTACTAACAAGTGGTCTTCACTCTCAGGCTAATATATCGATCAGAATGTCAGGTGAAATCAAATAGCAAACCCAAAACATATCCCATGACAGTATTAGGCATTAGATGTTTAAGTAAAATTTTTCTTCTATAACACAAAAACCAAGTAGTCTTTAGTTTGCCGAGTACAGCTAACGACACTAAACAAGGTAAACATCCACAGTTATTGTGTTACCAGGGAGGCCTTTAAATGCAACTTAAAATGACACAACAGAGCTCATACACTTGAGGAGCTTTTTTCTCTCTTATCATCTGGCAAGCGAGTAATTTAATAAGGTAAGTATTCATATATTACCTTCCGTTTCAATCATGCTCCCCCCCCCGTTCCAGAGACAGACTCCCGCAAAAAATACCCACCGGAAAGACTCAGAAATCCATGGCAACTACCATGGTCGTTCGGGGTTTAATGACAAAATATCTGCGATGTTTTAGTGTAAAAGATTAGTCACTGTAGGAGGCCTATATAATTTGGACCGGAGGGTTTGCCATGGAATAATATAATACAACAGGGCTTTCGCGATTAGATTTTCACTTTTAGCCTCCTTGACATTTCAAGCTGCATGAACTAATACATCTGTTATTTGTTGATCATTTGATTATTAACATACTTCATAAACCAAATCAGCAAGCCCTGGTGGAGGCTGAGAGACAACTGAAGAGGCAGGCGGGTTTCACTTTCACCACATACGGAGATACGTTACACACGGCAGCTCGTTTAAAACAGAGAGAAAAAAACATCCTCAGAGTGCTAGTGGAGCAAAAACGTCATCACATTCTAGTCTCAGATTTCAGAGCTTTTATTTCAGGCCAAATGCCACCTTCTGGCCTTCCTGAATTATTGACAGACTGACAGCAATGTGAGGGTGTATATAAAAGATCCTAATCACAACCTAACCTAATGTTTGTTTTTGTTTCTGCTCATTCACCACCCTACTGTGTGTAAAACATGGCAGTTCAGACACAACCCTTGTTATGGTTTCAGTAAATTCATGGTTACTCTGACACAGGCATAGCCATCAGATTTAGCATACAATGTATTAGGTGTTCAAAACTAGTTTTTCAGGTTCGAAACAAAAAGGCCACCTTCTACGTTGATCAACATTTGAGATACACCCAACATAGCCAAAAGTGTGGAATTTGAGAAACACCCTCAAATTATAACTCTGACCTCAGATGCCATATATCTCTTAGGAAAACAAGCTTAGTAAAGCAGGTGATTACAGTCAGTCAAATTGACACGGAGAAGACATCAGCACACCAATATTTGCTGTGTTACTGAACCCTTTACTGATATATATATATTGCTACGAATCATAGATTAGGACAAAAAGAGAGAGTTCTAGCAACAATTGTCAACCAGCATCCGAGTGAATAAGAAGCGTGAGGGTTGTGCTTTCTGATCACAGACGGGTCTAATCCACCTCACTTTCATTGCTGGCCCCCACGGGTCTCCTCAGCTTGTCCACCTGTTCATTGATCTGCCCATCCCCTCCTGGACGATCCTCTGCGGGTACGCTCAGATTCTCCTCGTCCACATGATCGTCCTCCTCCTCCACCTCCTTCTCCTCTTCTTCTTCTTCTTCTTCCTCTTCTTTCTCCTCACCCTGCACCTCCATACGGACCTGGTCCTTGAGGTCCAGCGGGGGCAGTGTGGCCCCCACTTCCAGCCCTGCGTTGTTCTCTCCGTTAAGGCTGTGAGCTCTGTCGAGGACCCCGGGGGCTTCTTGGGGGCTGTGGCGACAATCTTTGATAGGGGAGGAAGAAGCGGACTCGTTGCTGACGGGGGAGATGTCGCTGCTGCTGTTGGTGTGGTTGACAGACGGAGAGCTAGTGGAGATGGTGGTGGGCTTTAGGGGCATCTGCCAGGAGGGAATCTTTGGGACGGAAGGCGACGCAGGGAACTGCCTCCTGGAGAAAGGATTGAAGGCATGGATATTTCTAACACACACACACATCATGTCAACTTCACAATCAATTATTAGAGTGCCAGTCAAATTAGGGGTTGAGAAATCGCCCCAAAGGCCGAACGCCTGCATACAAAGGCATTTACAGAATGAAGTGCTTTTATTTAACCTTAATTCAACCACGTAGGCCGATTGAAAATAGTTTGCAACTGCGACCTGAGGAGAATGGGGATTGAACACGGGACATCATACATACGAAGCATTCACTCTACCACTGAGCTACACCAACTCCTCCTGTATCCACATGCCCTGCACATGACACATGTTATACTATTTTATTATATATATATATATATATATATATATATATATATATACACACACACACACACACGCTACTGTTCGAAAGCGGGAACCGTCCGTGCTTTTCATGAAAACATTAAAATAATATATATATATATATAGCCAAATGAATGGGAAATTCACTCATTGACAAGGTCAGAAATAAGAATATTATAATGTTTTGGCATATCAGTGTATAATATAAGATATATACTACATGATTAGAAAATCATAGTGATTTTTCCACAGCCAGATGTTCTCCACATCTGCTGAAGAAGAACAAAGATTTTATATTATATGAATTAATTATTTCAAGATCAAAAATAAATGGTTGCAACTTAAAAGAGATCAGCCATAACTTAATCTACAACGTTTTACGGCAGATTCAGGTCATTTAAATGATAAAGACCCAGTTTGGTAACAGATGGGTTTTTTGTGTTTATCTTCACCGATTAACCTCTCACGCAAAACTTATTGTCAAAGTCAGATGAAGGAGAGCAAAACAAAAGACTTAAAAGCTTATTAGGATGTAGACGAGAAAACAAAACATGTACAACCTGACAGTTCTAAAGCAATGTTCATCTGGCAGATTTTCTTGGCATAAACTTTTGCTTTGAGCCTCATTAGCGGAACTGAGTACATAATCACACATGCTAATGACTACCACAAAACATAATCCAAGTTGTGATGAAGCGCATTAGAAAATACACTATAGTTTACTGTGCTCAGTAAGTAAGCAGTCAGTAAGTTCAGTGAAATCATGGCAGTGTTTTGCAGACCATACTGCAGGGTTTTTCTTGCCTAGAGAAACCGAACAAACACTAGAGGAGAACTGTTTGTAGACAGAACCAGACTCTGACGTAGACTGGCATGGACGAGATAGTTCTGCCATGGGTACCACAAAGTGGAGTAAGTGGGAAGGAAATAGGTGAAGCATTTGCAAATGAGAATATGAATATTATTATATGTGTAGTATACCATTCTATAGTACACTAAAACATCCTATAATGTATATATTATATGTATAGTATATTATTCTATTGTATACCCCACGATTCAATTGTGAGCATTAAATTGTATGATTTACGGAAATTCCCATTATTGGGTTTGCTAAAGAACAGAACTCTAGCCACTTTATTATTCTACAGGAAACTCTGGGTATTTGTATGTGTGAAAGACATAACCAAGTAGGGTAGGGCTAAGAGCTAACAGACCAATGTAGCATGATGAGCTTGTATATTAGAGTGAAGCCTAATCGTTATACTGTTGTTGTTCATATAGTGCGCAGTGAAGTAGAACATCAGGTGACATCACATCTGTCTGGGTCTTTACCTGCTAAGGAGCAAACCCTTCAGGGACACTATTTCAGCTTTCAGTTCGCCGATGGCCTGGGTTTCTAGGATGTGCTTGTTTGAAGTGTGTGCCTATTGGAGAAGAGGAAGGAGAAGAAAACGGTCACACACTCACATGAGTCAGGAAACATGCCAGTTCAACAGAACCCGTCTAGGTCGTCTGCAGTGCTAAATAGCTTTCTGCCAAGCATGCGGTATTTATGTCTTCAAGTTTCCTAGGAAAGAACTTATCTTTAACACAAGATAATGTCTGAGGGCAACAATGTACAACATAGAAAATGCTGAAAACGAAAGAAAGTACTTTGTAAACACATAACAACTCTATAACAGCCTGTGAGTATATACAGACAATAAACAACAAGCCTCTGGACTACACGTGATCTTTGTGGACGAGATCTGTCCAAAAAGCTAATGGCATTGTTACAAATGGCTTGTGATTCATTACAGTTTTTACATAGTTTTCCATATTTCCAAAAAGGGTTCATCGCTGAATAGCAGTTTTGGATATTGGACTTTATCCTGAACAATAGAGGCATTTATAAAGCAGCCAAAAGTTGGCAGCTTTTTTTTTTATTTTATCAAAGGTGAGTGTTATCAAACACAGGCTGGCGCGGCATGAACTGTGACCGGGAACGTCGGCTAATTGTAGTGGCCTCCGGCAATATTTGAATAGCAAATCATTTTCGAAAATCCATCCATTGTATTTCAGTTCCAAACAGATGTATGATGTCAATTGTCTGGAGAAAGACAAAATAGATAAACGTGTAACTGCAAAACATTATGTAATTTCTATGACATTTGTGTCCGTATACTACCCCTTTCACTTGAATAGTGTCTAAACTTTTGACTGGTACTATGTACTATATACAATTAGGAACTCTAGACTCACTGAAGGCAGCTAGTTAGAAGCTAAGACCCCCCGTCCCGTTGAGACATATAACTTGGTTTCTTTGGCTTGTAATTAAATCAAATTAATTGAATCACATATGAAAGGGATCACACTCGTTTAGAGCAAAGGCAAGGAAGGAGGGGAAAAGGAAGTGAAATATATGGATGTGTTCGCCAGTAATCCGCATTAACTGGTTGTAAAATGGATGCTGTTAAGAGACAGAAAGGTTCCAGAAAATGTTCTACTATGTCACGCATGCGAAGAAGATTGGGGCCCCATGTAACCTATGTCACACGCATGTGAAGATTGGGGCCCCATGTAACCTATGTCACACGCATGTGAAGATTGGGGCCCCATGTAACCTATGTCACACACATGCGAAGAAGATTGGGGCCCCATGTAACCTATGTCACACGCATGTGAAGATTGGGGCCCCATGTAACCTATGTCACACATGTGAAGATTGGTGCCCCATGTAACCTATGTCATACACATGCGAAGAAGATTGGGGCCCCATGTAACCTATGTCACACATGTGAATGTAACCTATGTCACACACATGGGAAGATTGGGGCCCCATGTAACCTATGTCACACGCATGTGAAGATTGGGGCCCCATGTAACCTATGTCACACATATGCGAAGAAGATTGGGGCCCCATGTAACCTATGTCACACATGTGAAGATTGGTGCCCCATGTAACCTATGTCATACGTGTGTAGATTGGTGTCCCATGTAACCTATTTCACACATGTGAAGATTGGTGCCCCATGTAACCTATGTCACGCATGTGTAGATTGGTGCCCCATGTAACCTGTGTCACGCATGTGTAGATTGGTGCCCCATGTAACCTGTGTCACGCATGTGTAGATTGGTGCCCCATGTAACCTGTGTCACGCATGTGTAGATTGGTGCCCCATGTAACCTGTGTCACGCATGTGTAGATTGGTGCCCCATGTAACCTGTGTCACGCATGTGTAGATTGGTGCCCCATGTAACCTGTGTCACGCATGTGTAGATTGGTGCCCCATGTAACCTGTGTCACGCATGTGTAGATTGGTGCCCCATGTAACCAAAATAACTCATATTCATACTTAGAATTTCATGGGTACCTGAGGTATGATAACCGCTCTTCCTAAACATTATTCACATTTAAAAAACGATATTACACACGCAGCCCGAACTGAGAGGTTTAAACAATTACCGGTACTTTGCTCGGTGCAAAAATCCAGACTGGATGTTAAAATCAATCTTTATTTGTTGCATACAGAGTGTTGAAAGTGTTGAACCCCCCCCCTGTAATACACCTTGATTAAATAAATATTCACCACCCTGAGTCAGACCCCCTAGTCTCAGACATTCGTTTTTACATCGCAATATTTCACGTATCGCCGGACGAGCATCAGTCTGAATTCTACGCTGAGGTGTCTGTTTGGATCAAAGGAACACTCGCCCTTGTCTCTCTGGTTCCGTTGAAACGAAAAAGGACCTGAGCCCCTGGACCACTCGTCAGAACATCAGAACCACCAGGCCTGATGGCAAACATAAGGCACATGGTTTGGGTTCCAGATTAAATGTCTGCCTGCCCACAGCCCAGAGGTAGGTTCAGTGCTCCATTTGTAGGTTGACATGTCCCGTGGCATTTTATTGCAGGGCTTCATTGATAAAAGCATACGAATATGCATCAATATATAGAGGGCTATAGGATAGCCACCATCTTTTAATTATAATGTCATTTAATATATTTTCCATTTGGAAATGTTTTATCAAATGTGTTTTCATAGGGCATTTAAATTTTGTTTTAAACATATGTGCATACGAATTTTAAGTAGTATTTTTTACAAGTTAAATGGCAGGCCAGTTGTGAAGTGCCATTCAGTTTGGCGTTTGTACTTTAGCAGAAAATATGTCTTTTTCTCTCCACATATTCCTCTTCTAATCCCTCTGTCACATGTTCATCTGTGTCTTTGGTTGGGATTGCTGAGCTCTGTGCGTTCCGTTTGCCTCCATTCTTATTCAACATTTATTTTTGGTAAGTATACTATTTTGGATACATTTTCTACCTCTTAATGGCATCTTAGTCTTCAATCGAAACCTCTCAGTTTCTGCTATTGACCGGCCGCTAATGACAAGCAAAGCATAAAACCGAGAGTTGACATTGACAGCGGTCTTAAGACTTCCATGTCTACCACAGTACACCCCTGACTAAACAGAAACACCTACCAAGGCACTTTTTGGTGCCCTGGATTATGACGAAAAAGCTATAGATATGAAGTGTTCATTTCCAGGTTCACCTAATAGAAACAACCGCAGGTCTTTCCAAAGCCTTAAAGATAATACGACAGGAACGTGCTTCTCTGATTTGACCGTAGGATAACAAGTCATATAGGGCCATGGGCTTAGTTCCGTTGTCAAGTGTGGCATGACACAGTAAGTGTGCATGACGACGGCATGTGACAAAATCATTACCGCAGCACAGTAAGTATTACATGCACTTAACGTAATCTTCTAATTCTATTAGTATGAGAATAACAGCCGAATAATCACTTTGTGTAGTCTGGCTTAAGAACAGACACTTTGATCTATGACCAGTTGTGTTAAAACGCTACGCAGTTTCCTCCTAGCCGGCGTAATAACTGTGCTCCTAATCTGTCTCAAGTGGTTGCTGGGGTGTGATAAGGGTCAGCTCCTTTCTGCTGCTTAACT